TTGGACTTGAAGATCTATAAGGTCCCTTCCACCCTACTTCTATGATTCTATGGTTTGCCATTTTATGGCACTGTAAATTACCTGAATAAGAAGTTACCCTACTGAAGTACCATTTAGCTGAGTATCCTGTCCCTGACAGTGGCAGAAGTGGATGCTGTACAGAGAGAACATTGAAACAGATATTTCTAATATGATCTATACCTTATTCAGTACGTTCCCTGGCACCCACTATTTATTGGGTTAGAAATGACAGAGGAAACATCTTTAACCATTCTGTTCAATAGTCATTGATAGATCGATCATCAATGAATTTATCCAGTCTCTTTTTAAACCTGGATATGTTGTCTGCCTCCACCACCTTCTGTAGTAATGAATTCAACAAATGTATTATGTTGTGTAAAAAAAAAAAAAGACTTCCTCTTGTTAGTTTTAAACTTGTTATTTACTATTTCAGTAGGTTCTTCCTCGTTCTAGTTTTCTGGGATGTGATGAACAATACTTTTCTGTTCACTTGGGCCCCACCCTTCATGATTTTATAGATCCCTAACACATTCTCCCCTCAGCCTTGTCCTTTCCACACTGAAGAGTCCGAGCTTTTTTAATCTTTTCTGGTATGGTAACTATTCCAGGCCCCTGATCATTTTGATTGCCCTTCTCTGTACCTTTTCTAATTCTACTGCAACATTTTTGAGACGTGGGAATCAGAACTGCACCCAGTATTCAAGATGTGGGCCCAAATTTATGGCACAATTAATTTATATGTTATTTGCACCATAAATGTAATCCAGAGCCCTACTGGTTATACTTAACTAGATTTGTAATGTCTGCAGGAATCATCTACACTTGTGTGGCCACACAGTGGGTTCTGGCTGGGCTCTGGAGCCCCAGCTTGGCTTAGTGACTATGGTGGCAGCTGCACGTGCTCCTTGGGGCAAATGGTGGGGGAGGGGCCAGGGTTGCGCTGCCCTGGACCCTTGGCTGTATGCCCCGACGCATGTGTGCAGCTGCCACCACCATGGAGCCCAGCTGTGTCTCTGGAGCCCAGTGCAGCTTTTTGTAGCCTCCCAGCAGGTGGTGGGCAGCTGCAGCAGGTGGTAGGCAGCCTGCAGACAGCTGCACTGGGGTCTGGAGCAGTAGCACTGGCTCCGTGGTGGCAGTGGCTGGATGTGAGTTTTGGGGCACGCAGTGGGGAAGACTCTGGAGCAGTGCAACCTTGGTCTGTCACCCACCATCTAACCTGAGAAATGTGCATCCACTGCCAGCTATGAGGATTGGGCCCCTTGTGGCTCCCCTGCTGTCTGCCTCTGGTTTGCCAAGTCAAGGTGTGGATCGAGGTTGAAGTGTTTTTGGCACTCTGGCCAAAAATGTTGCTGACCAGTTCTCTAGGAAGTCATTACCATGGTATTGGAATGAAGGAAGTTGAATCTTAACAGTTTGTTTCTGAGACAATATTGTTTCAAGACACTGTATGCTTTCCATGCACTTTGATGTCTTTCTATTACTGGGGTTTGAGATCTCTTTCCTCAGCCAGTCTCCATTTATGTTTTGTGGTGTAGAGAAGACTCTTTTGGGAAATAGCATAGTGATAGTGTATTTGATCTTGTGACCTAGAATTTGGACCAGTATCTTCAACAATGATGAAGTCTTTGTATGTTAACCCATTTCAACAGCTAACTGTTTATTTCAAGCATTATCAACAAAGGAGAACAGACAATTTTGAGAGACTGTTTAACAAAATAAAATTTTATTGTCAAGATTAGAGGTGCATTGATATATCGGCTGCTTAACGGATGAGCACCGATTTAAAAGGAAAATTAACATTATTGGCAGTCGGCTTTTTTTGGCCAGTGTAACTGATAATGTCATTGATAAATGCCACGTGTGTGCACAGCCAGGAATGCAGCCTGGCAGCTTGGAGAGCAGCATACGGCTGGTAAGTCTGTGGGGGGAAAGGGGTGGGGGTTGGGGGGAGATCAAGGACCCCATGGGGAGGGGAGGAGG